CATGATGATTGGCTGCGACACCACTCTAGATGATTCCACTGATGTTGTGGGGTCAAATGCAGATGTCTTAAGAGCTGCTGTGATTGATGCCAGTACCTTTGCACAGCTGTGTCTGTACGTTGCAAGTGACGATCTATTGCTCAGTGTGACTATTCAGCTTTACGCACGGTCCATGTTCGAAGTCTTGCGACCACGTGTAAGAAGTCATTCTGTGTAAGGTCTTCGGAAACGCGTTGATGGCATCATTCATTTGTTCTGTAGAAAATCACAATGTCGAAAACGAAAAAAAAGATAAATTTTCCGCCTCTATGACTGGTTTTATATTTTACGAGTTGCTCAGCAAAAATGCTCACTAAGATCGCAATTAATGTTCATTGGCCTTGAAATTTGATAATTTGTATGAAGATATCTTTGTATACGAAATTTCATCACAATCGGATCACTTCTTGAGGCTTCGATTTTTTTTTTTTTTTTTTTTGCAAAAAGAGTGCAATTACGGCAACATGTTGTTCCTGTTTCACAGACTGCCACTAAGAATCAAGTGCAAGTTCAGCAGTAAGTATTTACAGATATATTCAACATTTGAGGTCAGAATGCAGACTAAGTCTTCTATTGATTATACGAGAACTAACTTTAAATGAAAAGGATTTATTTTTAATGTACTTTAAATTGTTTGATAATAAATGCATCATGTGATATTCTTAAATTATAGGGTATTACTATTATATTTGTATCCTGCGTTTTGTCTTAAACGTGGTTTAAAACTTTTTTTATATTGTAGTTAGGTATAGATAAATACACATGTTCTACATTTAGTATTGTCAGAATATAAGCATTGTTGACTTTTTTTATTACACCATTGGGTAGACCGCAACCTCTTGTAAAAATTAGAAGTAGACCGCATCATGTAAAAGTCTGCCCACCCCTGGTTTAGATGATGGAATGAGGTGGCGAATTGTGGGGAGGATAGAAGCTGTCCAATGTCAAGTTCAGATCTGTAGACAGTTCAATTTAACTCCTAGCGTCGTGTGTAACTTATGGAAACAGTTCCAAGGTACTGGATCCATCGTGAGAAAGCCTGGGTAACTAAATCTAAGAGCCACGACGGCCAGAAAAGATTGTCCTTTGACGATTATAATGATGCTTAACAGAAGTGCTACAATATCTCAGCTCTGTTGCTACTTGTATGCAGCCACAAAGACCCGTGCATCCAGGGTGACTGTTTCAAAAATACTTTATGAGAGAGGGTTGTTTGCCAGAATACTATCTGTTTGCGTCCCACTGAAGTCTACGAATCGGAGAATTCGTTTAGCATGATGCAGACAGCATAGAGACTGGAGTATGGAACAATGGGCGACCATTCTGTTCACCGATGAGTCCTATTTCAACCTAAACACCGATTCTCGCAGCACGTTCATATGGAAAGAACCAGGGACCCACTACCTACCCTCCAATGTCGGCGAAATCGGCAATTATGGCTAAGGTGGTTTAATGGTCTGGGCAGGTATCTTGTTGGTTGGACGTAGCCCTCTCCATGTCTTTGAAAGAGGCTCTGTGACTGGTGTGAGGTACAGGGATGAGGTCTTGGAGTCCTATATTCACCTTATCAGGGATGCTTGGGGCACCAAGTTCATTTTAATGGACGATAACGTGAGGTAACATAGAGCTCTTCTGGTAGACGAATTTCTAGAGAGTGAGGATATTCGCCGTATGGATTGGCCAGCCAGGTCTCCAGACCTCAACCCTATAGTGCATGTCTGGGACGCTCTGGGGAGGGCAATTACAACTCGCAACTCCCCTCCAAGAACTATCCAGGAAATGAAAACAGTGTTGCTGAACGAGTGGGACCAATTGCCACAAGAACTGATAAACTGTCTTATTTTTAAGTAGGACATCATGCTGCGAGGCCTGCATAGCTATAAGAGGGGGCCATACCCCCTATTAACCCATTTCTTTTCTTTATTCTGAAGCCACTGTTTCATATCTTCCAATTCCAACTAGTGTTAAGCACGACCATGCGTCTGTATTGCAATTGTGAATGGTTATTTATTTTTTATTGTATCAATGTATGTACATATCAAATTTCATTGAAATCATTCCAGTAGCTCTAAAGATAATCCATCAAGTCTGCCGATACTCTTAATTGCTTACACCAGTGTAGATAATACATAAATATAATGTCAACTGGGTTTTGTGTGAATCTTTTCTCATTTAAAAGTTTGCTGTCGAAGTTATATATCTATTGAATATGAAATTAGAATATTACAATTTTAATTTAACCCCTTAACCGATCTTTTTTTTTTTTACCAAAAATGTTTTTAAAAAGCAACAATTTTATTGTGTATAATTAACATCGTATTTAACTAAATGAGAAAATTGAAGAATTTTGTTTTAAATTTAAAAATTTTAAAATTTGTCACCGTTTTTTTTTATGTTACAGTTGTGGAACGCGAAAAATATTTAATGTTTGCTTTTTATAAGTATACTCTAACGTTATGAAGAATTTGCATACATTTTAAAACAAATTTTATTTTAGTAAGTTTTCAAAAGGTTGAGGGCTTTGTATTTGTGTGTCTGTTTCTCTGAAGAATAATATAAATAATCAGTAGACTGTTCAGAATCTGCATCCAAATTCAATTCCTCCTTTCACAAAAAAATGGGGTTTTTTGTTTCAGTTATCCGTAATTTCAAAAATCACCGGTCTGAATGCAAATGCATCGCAAAAAGTAGAACACAAACTTTAAGGTATCCGACTACATTCGGAACCGTGATTTTGCAAAAACGTAGAAATGGATAATATTTACGATATTTAGTGTCACTAAGATTAGAAAATGTACATAAAGTTGTTTTAAGAATAGTGTATTACAATAAAAAATTATTTAAGTACAATATTTTGACAAAAAAATGAACATAGAATGACCCATTTTCAAAATATTCTTCTTTTGCGAAAAATGCTTCTATTATAATCATATTTTGCTTGTGTATAGCTCAGACCTCTGTACAGAGGCTCAACTAGAATTTTTGAAATATATAACTTAGAAGTGAGTTTATCTATGTTTTACGACAACAGAGGGGAGAAATTTATGAAAAAAAACCGCTGATAATTGTTTCAATTGGTTGTAACTCTGAAAATAATGTGAATTTTTCAAAAATCATAGTTGAGCCTCTGTACAGAGGTCTGGATGGGAAGTTAATTAGTATAGGCAAACAACATTACCTTTTCAAAATACCAGCACTAAAGAATATCACCAAAAAAAAAAAGAATTAAAAATACGAACAATTAAAAAAAGAAAGAAAGAATGAGTGCCCTCACGGGCAAATCGGTTAAGTGGTTAGTATCTGAAGTAAAGCTTATTTCTCAAAACAACCTTGATCAACAGGATGAAATATTTGCTTTCAAACAAAATGAAACGCATATAAGAAATTGTATACATACTTTTCCAACATGTTTTAATCCCATAAAATCATTAACTGTTTTTACAAAAGAAAAAAAAACTAATTTTTTGAAAGCTTTTTAACTACCTTTATTCTATCAAATTCCAATTATGTTTAGAAAGTACATCGAGTGAAATTTAATCTTTAAAAACATCTTTAAATTACTAATAATCCAACCAAACACTTTCTGGCATGAGTAAATCTTATTCCTCCAAAAAGAAATTATTTTAAAATTAAAGAAAATTAATCAAACTTAAAATAAGCGAAAAACTATGATAAAAACACCCACACGGATGTTTTAAAAAGCACGAAATTGGGCAAACTCTTACCAAAAGCTAATGAAACATAGCGAAACGTAAAAGCACGACTAAAAAAAATGCAAAACAGACTTTTAAAATAAAAGAATTTCAGGGGCTCCTCTCGTTTTTGAAGTCATGGCGGATCGATTGTCGAGACAATTTACATTGAGATGTTCCACGGCAAATGGATCAATCAAAGCGGTACACACGTTAGGAGGAAAATTTTGCTGCGCCTAAGAATCTGACACGCAGATTTCAATTGAATTAAAAGCGGAAGTAGACAACGCACCAACTGCATTTCTTTGGTCGATATGGAGAGAAGAAAGCAGACAGTCGGCACTGGACTGAGATTTATTAGAAATAGACTCGCAAATTAAAATGGCACTTTTGACATTCTTTACGCAGTGTTTTTACAGATTTTTACTAATGTTAAAAATTAAATCCTTTTCGTATTTTAATTAATAAGGATAATGAAACATTAGAAATAGAAAACCATAATTTAAAATGTTTCTTATAAAAACAAGTAGAGGACTTAGAATATTTTATTGATTTCTTGGGGCTGTCAAAGTAAGGATGTTTCCTTGGTATTTTGTTCAATTCTTACTATTAGTTCACACTCTTACTATATATATATATATATATATATATATATATATATATATATATATATATATATATATATATATATATATATATGACATGTTTCGATTCTGAATCAGACTTAATTTTAAAAAGGAACTTTATTCAATGAATTCTCGGCATCATCTGACGCTAAGAGGCAGAGAAAAAAAACGCCAAAGTGAAATCTAAGTGTTTTACCACTTAAGCCAGATGTGAGAAGTACCTTTGATTTTATGAGTGTACTTGAAAGTTAATGCTGACATATGGAGCTATTAAATATAATGATCTGGGATCAGAAATGTTTAGTGATTAGGCTATATGTTTCGGAGAAATAATTGGGTGAATTACTTAATACTTGAAGATGCAATGAAAAATAAAAGTTAAATGCTATATAGGGAATTTAATTTGAAATCCAATTTAATTATCCTTACATATATATATTAAGTTCAAATTTTCAATCGTTAATAAAATACTTTTGATTCATCCATTTAAGTTCATATACATTGTTTTAAAATTGTGGTGGATGACACTAAATGTTAATACAGTTTTTTCCAACATTAATTCATTAATTTTTAATTAAGGAATACATAGTAACAAAAATAATAGTCCAACACCATATACAAAAAGGAAAATTGCTCGTTGTGTGTCTCTGAAGCGCAATGGATAGCGCATTGGACTTTTAATCCAAAGCTCGTGTGCCCAATTACCACCTGGGAGGGCTTAATTTCTAAGAATGTGATTTCATTTTACTATACTGTTTTATTGGAATTGAATTTAATTAAGTAATAAATAGTAATAAACAAAAATTACATATTAAAACACCCCCATCCCTATCGATAGAAAGGAAAACGGAAAATTGCAAGGAAAATAGCTTTCGATTTTGCCACTTAATAATGTGATTCTGTCATATGTATATACATATATATTAATTGTATAACTATTTAATAAAAAGTAACTAAAATAAAAATGTTCTTTGTGGACCTAAGTCGTAATTGACTTAATTTTTTTTATCTTACTTGTTCAATTAAAATTTAACTTTTATATACCTTGTTTTATTTCTAATGGGCTGCGGATTGGAGTTTTTCCATTGCAGACCCGTAGTACATTCCCCCCGGAAGCTGATTTTTATATACCTTAAGGTATCCGACTACGTTCGGTACCGTGATTTTAAAAAATCGCATAAATGGATACTTTTCATGATATTTAGTGTCACATAGATTAGAAAATACAAGTATAAAATTGTTTTTAAGGACATTCTGACAAAAAAAAATTATTTGAATACAATATTTCGGCAAAAAATTAACTTAAAATAATCTTTCTTCAAAATGTTCTTTTGTGAAAAATGGTTCTATTATAATAATATTTTGGCTGTATAGCTCGGACCTCTGTACAGAGGTTAAACTATGATTTTTTTGAAAAAGTCACATTATTTTCAGAGTTACAACCAATTGAAATAAATATTGGCGCTTTTTTCTTAAAATTTCTCCCCTCTGATGTAAAACATGGGAAAACCCTGAATTACATATTTCAAAAATTCTAGTTGAGCCTCTGTACAGAGATCTGAGCTATATTCAGGCAAAATATTATTACAATAGACGCATTTTTCACAAAAGAAGAATATTTTGAAAATGGGTCATTCTATGTTCATTTTTTGTCAAAATATTGTACTTAAATATTTTTTATTGTAATACTATTCTTAAAATAGTTTTATATACATTTTCTAATCTAAGTGACACTAAATATAAATTTTAATCTTTTGTACGCTTTTGCAAAATCAAGGTTCCAAACGTAGTCGGATATCTTAAGCATTTAAAATAAGCTGAATTATTATTGGACGAATATTATTCCGCTTTGAGATAAAGCTCTCTGCCAGAACCATACAATATTAATAATGGAACTTCGTTTTTTTTTCATGTGTATTAAATTAATTCTTCTATTAAATACAAAAGCGTTCCTTAAACATACTTATTCTATTCAATTCCATTTTTAAAAGGGATTTTTCAGTGATGTTACACAATTTCTTGTACAATTTGTAAGAAAAATTATAGCCTATAGGTCACTGATATGTACTGGTATATTGATTCTGACTTGCATTCTTTTCAAGATTCATGCTTTTAAGATTATATATGACCTTTACTTTTTTCCAAAATATATATAGATTCTGTTCATTATTTGTTTAATGAAAAAAGAGAAGTAAAATATATATTCAAGTCTGAAATAATAAATTTTTCATTCGATTCAAAATTTTTTCAGGAAAAAATAAGTATAATTGCCAATGTACCTAATACTTCTGACTAACGCTCAGAATATGAAGTGAATACCTTGTTGTTCTAATTTCCACACCAAACCCTTGTGAAATTTGAGATCTTTTGTTGTGGTTGAACATGACTCTCAGAAATTTCCATTATTTCAAATTACAACATTTTCTAGAAACTATTTCCGAAACCAAATTCTGTATTTGAATATCCTCGGTTATGAAATACATTGCCATGACCGCTATGAGTTTAAGTAAATCAAGTATTGATTACAGATCGTGTTACAAAAGATCTTTCTGGATGCCAATTTTTTTTCCAAAATAGTCAGACTGATCCTTCAATAGTTTATATTTCTAATTTTAGCTTCTTAACAAAAAATTTCCATTGAATATATTTGAAACTTAAACGAACCTAATTTGATTTGATTTTCGCTTACTGTGAAGTAACACGGGGGCTATTGTCAACGAACCTCGTAATTTTAAACCACGGTCAAGTGAAAAGGAAGACACCGGAACTGACACCACTCTCCTAATTTCCCACCACACTTATAGTATGACTTTGAGCTGTGACGCATTGAACGTGCATCAAATCCTTTACACGATGCGTCTTCAGTGGCATTAGGTTTCATAGCTATCACTCAACAACGCCGGCTACTGCATTGACTGCAGCCCATCTGGTATAGTGGTTAGTGACGCTGACTACTGTGCCTTTGGGCGTGGGTTTGAATTCCGGAGAAAGCATGGAGTTTGTAAATGGATAGTGTCTTAACACTATCCGTTTACAAACTATGTGGTACTCTAAAGCCGGGATGAGCAGACTTTTTTCAAGGGTACGGGCTGCTTCTAATTTTTTTAAGGTATGCGGTCCACCTAGGGGCGCAGGTGTAGTGAACTCAAAGGAAAAATATAATACAGTTGGACCTCCATTTTACGAATATCTCTATTTAGCGAACTTTTTTCTAGAACCAATAACATTTTACGATTTTCTTCGTAAAATAACCTCCAAATAGCGAAGTGCATTTTCTATTCAACGGAATTTTCTCTTAAGATTCGATTTTTTTCCTAAGGATTTTTTTAGAATACCGTATTTACTCGAATCTAAGTCACAATTTGTTCCCAATGTTAATGCTACTGAAAATTGGGCACGGTTTAGAATCGAAGGGAAAAAATTTGTGTTGGATGGGGTATTTAGAGCAATTACGGCTCCATGCATGTACTTAAAAGTTTATAATACTGATAAAAATAACTGATTATTCACATCTTATTAGGTTTCCTTTTAAATTTATTTTAATTTCGTAAAATTGGATATCGATAAACCACATTTTAGACTATTTTTCAATTTTCACAAAATCTTGTTGGGAATTTGGGACACGGCTTAGATTCGAATAAATACGGTATTTCTAGATCTTCGTATGATGGAATGATTGCAGGGTCTTAGTGAAATCGGTCACTTCAAAATGTCTTAGCGGTCCACCTGACGATCACGATCGACTTAATGCCCACCCCATCTCTAAAGAGTCGTCGAGCCACAAGTCCTCTAGCCTTTTTCGATATAACATAAGAAGTATTGTTCTTTTCCAAAATATTTGTTTATTTATAAATATATAGAAGGAACGAATAGAGTTGTGTGTGTTTCTGAAAATGCCATTTGATCGACGGTGTCAATTCGAGGCCCGTGAAATTCATTGGAGCAAGGGTTGGTTAGCATTCATTATCGTATATTTTTTTCGTTAGCAGCAGCTTTGAGCATCATGCGGGTGAAATCACAGTTAAAGAATATTTTCCCAAAGAGGATTAGTAGAAGAATCTAAATAGTACCCGTTATGAGGTAACTAAAAACCTAAAAAAGTGTACTTAATAAAGCATTAATTTTAAAATCAGATTTTAACTATTCCAAAAAAGATTATACGTATATATATATATATATATATATATATATATATATATATATATATTGTATATATATATATATTGTATATATATATATATATATATTGTATATATATATATATTGTATTGTATATATATATATATATTGTATATATATATATATATATATGTATATATATATATATATATATATATATATATATATTGTATATATATATATATTGTATATATGTATATATATATATATATATATATATATTGTATATATATATATATATATTATATATATATATATATATATATTATATATATATATATATATATTGTATATATATATATATATATTGTATATATATATATATATATAATATAAATCTCAGTTTCTAAAAAAAACTTATACTTCCATGATTTATGAATTTTCTAAACAGTTTTTTAAAAGGAAATTCAGAACTGGTGATAATAAAAGAAAAAAATCTTATGCTTAATTTAAGGAAAAAGAGTTATTTTAGTAATTTTATTATGTAACTATTAATAAACCTTATATATATAAATATAAGTAGACTCCAACACCTGATAATCCTCGCTTCTTTGACTGATGTAACATAGATATTGTTAATTTATGAAAAATTCCTGATTATTATTTCAATAACGAATATCTACACAAATATTTGAACATTTCCTGTCATTTTAAATCACTTTTACTTAGAGGTCAGTATTTAAATTTTAACCCTTTATCTACCGCATTATGATTTACTGCAGTTTTTTTCATGTAATATTTTTTTGTATCACTACATTGAAAATTAAGGGATATACATAAACAAAATACTCAGCGTTGCGAAATTTAATCAGTTTTAGAGCTAATTAATTAATAAAAGATATTCCATTGTAAAATCAATTATATACACTGTTTACTTAAAATAAATAGTCAAATTATTTTCAAAGGTCTTCATTAACATACGAAAAAATAAAACACTTAAATTTTGACATTAACTATTTTTTCGGGACAAAAATATTAATCTTTGCAATCCACTGAAAACGCAATTTCTGCTATAAAACTATTCGCCTTCCCGCTAAAATACTCATCATAGAACCCGCGGTGCCATATATCTCAGAAGAGGGGATTTCAAAGAATATTCCTGCCAAGTACCGTCAGAATATTCGCAAAAATAGTTATTCTATGTAATTTTAAAGTGAGTGGTACTTATAAGTACCGTCGGTAGGTAAAGGGTTAAAGGTATCCAAAGTCATTTTCTAAATTTTCGAGATTTTAGCTAATTGATAAAGATTTAAGAAAAAGCTTTTTCTTCGTATAATTATTATTTCACAATAAAATATTGTTATATCAGTAGAAAAAGGATACAAGCCTTATAAAAAATCAAAATCCCACTGAATAAGTACCTCGTAAAGGGTAAGAAACAGCCGTATGTGTAAGCAGCCATTATGCATCACTACTTCAAGACGACGTTGAAAATTCTTTCGCCACCAGTCGCACTCGGCGGTTGCACAGCTACCACCGGCAGTTAATTGACCGATCGTTTTTTTCTCCCCTCGTCTCTACCATGGAGGCTCTAATT